TTTTTTTTTTTGTAATTTTAGTACACTTTTTTTTCGAAGACTCTTGGAACGAAGGATAGATTTGTCACAAATTCGCTTTTTCGTGATCTCGTAATTCAATTGCACGCCATTCAATCACAGCAAATATTCGTAAGGAGCGACGAAGCAAACGCAAGGCTCCGATTCGTGTCAGTTTCTGACCTCGTTCGAGACTCACCCCAATCTGCTCGACTCTTACTTCCATTAGTCTCCTCGACTCGCATGACGAACGTATACAAATCGCTTCTCGAACAAAGGGTGGAAAAGATCGGGGCCAGGGGAGAAAGAGATCAACGAGAGTCACTTTTTTTTTACGATCCGGTCACTTTTCTTTATCACCGAGAAGATAACGTCGTGCGACTGGTCGTCGGCTCGTTAAATCCTCGGCGAACTCATCTTCGAAAATTTCGAAGTATCCGCGATGGTCTGTGGACGGAGAATCATGGTAAATTGTAAAAGGGGGCAGCCCGCGGAATGATTATGATCGTCGCGATCGTATATTAGCATAGAGGAAAAACAGACTCGTAAAACAATTCGGACGCCGTCGCTTCTGTTTCCATGGTAATCGCACGTTGCGCTTCTCTGACACTTCCCGTTTCGATGGTCGAACGCGGATGCGTTTTGTTGAATAAAAAAAAGAGAAAAAAAAGAAAAGAAAACTGACGAAACAGAATTTAGACATAGTTTCAGCGACAGATAAGTCCCCCTTTGATCGATTGGATATTCATAACGTCGCAGGTTGTTGAAATACATACACGGAAGTATATATAAATGCATACGTGTAATGAATCATAGAAATATTCGTGCTGTTCTAATTGTCGATATCGAACGATTAATGTGATTTCGCGATGCAAAAGTAATGCACGTTGAAACAATCGAGCATAATTAATTTGCATTCTCATTGACAGGGATTTCGGGACTTGCGCCGTAAAAAGGTATAAATCATTCAAAATTGGTAATTGCAACAGGATACGAATACCCGAGTAACTCACATATGTATATAACGAACATACACGATAGATGCATCGCGAATAATACTAAAATTTACTGAAGAAGTATATAGAAATTATACGAAACACATTTGACACATTTTCGATATATAATGATCGAATACAAATCGCGATACTTTACAGAGATTCTTCTTACCGACACGTTACCAGGTATTCTAACTCGAGCTCGAAACTCTATCCAGCGAG